CACATACATACCCTGTGTTTAGAACTATGTTTATGAAAAATACAAAGAGGAGACATATTTTAAAGCATTTCGTTTTAATTCGGTATAGATAATCAAATCCGGCTTTCTTGTTCAAATGTATATTAATAAAAATTGATCTCGATACTAGTAAGCCAACTGTCAAAATAAGAATAAAGAAGGCAATAACACAATTAGTAATCATTAGAGAATCAGTCATTTTTGGCAAAATTTTATCTTGTTTCACAATCTATCGATAACAACTACATAACTATTTAAAATTGTATGAAAACTGGCAATGCCTACAAATGCCATTTTACTTCTTCTTCAAAAAAGACAGACTATATACATATGTAGATTATAAAAAAAAACATAAAGTACTTACTATTATAAAAATACATAGTGATATTCAATAAACGGATATTCAACATACTCTATAGTTATTATAACTATTATTACTAACAACGACAGTTTGTTATGAGAGATATTGTTGTATGATGAGCTTTTCAATTTATCCTTGTCTATAGTGCAGAAAGACTTCTATCTAAAGCATAATAATTAAAGTAAAAGTATTTTTTTATTACGTTACATATGCATGATGCACTTGTTTAAATTACAATGCCATATCATCTTTTTTCCACGATCCCTGTATCGCTTGCCACACCTGGCAATGCATTAATATGTTTCATGAAATTGTTTCAATACTACCAAATAAAACACTTACTAAATTTTAATCAGTTTTCGTATAGTTACTATTTTGCATTTTATTGTAGATAAAAACGTACATTACGTAATACTTTTGTAGTCAGCTTAGATACTTTAAAAAATAAAAATTGTTGTTGGGTGGAAGCACATCATATACCCCATCAAACTGTCGTAAAACAAAAACTTTTTTCAAAAGATCAAACAGCTTCAAAACGCTTAGCTAACTAAAACCTATAGGAGCAATCCGAGTAATTCTGTCATGTTATTTCAAACTATATTTATTAAGAGCATTGTAGGCCCTACAAATATCAAAGAACCCCTTGGATGTACTCACCAACTTCAATCAAATTTCAAGGCCTTTTAAGTATACAAAGTGCCCGGTCAAATGTAGCTAACTAGTACAAAACTTCAAATAAAACTGTTAGAGAAGTCCAGGCAGTCGTCTCTCACCAGGACTTGAGGACTCCTAGAACAAATCGGTAGTACCACTCAAGGGAAAATATTAATAACGCGATGCAGAATTCACATAAAATGAGTTAATGCCATCTAGCGCATGTTTAGGGAACTACGTCATGGACAAAGGTGCTCAGAGAAGTGTATTGGAGGAGATAGGTTTGTTACAGCAATGTAAATAATAAATGTGAACAAATATCCTACTGTATGTAGGATATGTGTATTCACTCGTACTTTTCAGGGCAAATCTACCTTAAGAATAATTAATAATGTTACCAAGTAATGTAACCAAGGTGTGTTAAACCTACTTCATGTTTTGAAAAATGAAATAAAAATATTTCGAATTTTTAATTTTGTACATACATAATCTCAGTAAAGAGTACTAAAAAAACCGACCTCAAAAGTACGTGGAATTACGTCTATTTGCTGAGTTTTGTTGAAATATCCCCTAGTTCGCTACTATACAGGACTTCACACTGGAGATAATAAAAATCGGTGCTCACTACTCAAAATAAAAACAATTTGAATTGGAGAAATAGCAAAATCAACCATTAAAGTAATTGCTCCTAAATTAAAGTTAGGCGCTATTTATAAAAATGAATCTTCATGCGTGAACAGCCACCCTTCGAGGTGGATGATTTTCTGAAATGTAATCGGATCACTATGGAAGTACCCCCTTTCCAACAAAAAATAATCATGAAAATTGGTTCACAAATACCGGAGTTATCGCGTAACATACATACAAAAAAAAAGAACAAACAGACGAATTGTGAGCCTCTTCCTTTTTTGAAGTCGGTTAAAAACTCGTTTTGAGGCGGAACTACCAGCGCACAAGATACAAATTAACGTCGGAAAAATAACGGGGCGGGCAATAATAAACTAAAAGCATATAATATGTGCAAAAGGAGCAAGTTCGGAACAAGAGCACTTAAAATTAACACACCTTACGTTAAAGACAATCCAAAAAGTAAAGATTGGCTTCTTGACTGTATATCAGCTACACTGATATAAAAAAATGGCATCTAATCAGATGCCAATTAAAGTTCCTGAAAATTATCTGCATAAACATAACAATTTGTAAATTTACGTAATTTATTGATATGTATTTAAAACATACCAAATATCAAATATTAATTAATATTTGATATTAATTAAATATATATATATATATATATATATATATATATATATATATATATATACACATAAAAACGTATTAAAAAAGGTTAAAAAAAGATGCAGAAATAAAAATGGAAATAAAAAAGAAAATGTTTAGATATCATCATAAAAGTTACAAATTGAGGGGAAGATAGATGATAGATAGATAGGTTTTAGAAGTAGGAGAGCTCCTGCTCCTTGTGAAAGAGTTCGTCCAGGGAATACTGCCACCATACTTATTTCTGTCGCTAAGGAGTATGAGCATTCCTTTGTTCCAGTTTTAAAGGGTTAGGGTGCTGGTGAAATTACAGGCACATGGGGCTTTTCAATTTGTGTCTCAAGGTGACGGGCGCAGGGACAGTGCCCCTGCAATTTAACCCCTCCTCCTCCCATCTTTGCAATTTAAAGCTCTGAGTGGCACTGCAACTGCTATGGACAGACGTGTCGCCACCACGTGTACCACCAGGCGCATGACTTGTTTGTCCTGTCACTTAGTATTATATAAAAAAAGCTTTACATTTAAGGGACATATTAAAGAAACAAAATTATAAATTTGTCCAAAAATAGATTTTGAAATATAGAGGGTCGAAAATAACTCGAAATGATTCGTTTAATATTACACACGGCCAATATGTTGCCTTTTTTTGAACGTTGACTGGCACACTGCCGTATATCCTGTAGTCGCCTACGTTACCTTTATGACAATAGGCCTTTATTACAACATGTCATTTATTTTACTTTTATGACTTCACAACAAAAGAAAGAACCGCGATCATTGGATGTTCTGCGTATTTTGTTCAACCATTGATTTCATAAAGTTCACAAATTATGCAAAGATAAGGGGAGTTATGTTACTGGAATACATTAAGATAAAATAATACCCACATAACACACGCCTTTTTTGTTGTAATAAGGTAAAATCTGTAAAATGACAACTTTTCAGGAGAGAGAGAGTTTATATATTCCAAAATAAATAGATTTTTTTTCATGTGATAAAAGCACTATTAATATATCACTTGTGACTTTGTTGTACCGTGGATACGATGTTATACAACAAACACGAATTCTAAATACTATTTTTATTTAAAAGGTGGGTTAGACAGGAGTCAGTTCGACGTCTTTTGAAATAGCATAACATCGAATAGGAAATAACGTAAACTTACGTTTACGTACTGAGTTAGGAAAATACAAAATACTTATACCAAAATTATTTAGAGCCCATGATTTTAGACCATATGACTACAAAAAAGAAACTTATCGAACTTACATATATACAAATACACTTAGTATCCCAGGGGGTTCTCCACTGTTAAATAAGTATTACTCAAATGAATAGACAATTTCAAGTATGAAGCTAATTAATAATTAATAGACTGTCTGGGAAACCCAAGGGCTTCCTTGCCCAACGCATTAGCATAGCAACACAAAGGGGTGAACGCTGCCAGCATCTTGGGCACCTTGTCGCGGGGACGCAATTTATTCATACTATTTAAAAATCCTTGTTTTGCTTTCCACTTTTTAAGCTTTTATAGTCTTTTTACCTTACCTGTATACATCGAGTATATATCATTTAATTGAAATGTCATTTAATTTGTTTGAAAACTATTCTGCCATATCATTACTGTGACAACTGCGTTCCGATTGGCCACCCCGAATTCGAATACAATTGACGGGTGTCGTCAAATGTTTCACTTGAAAAGACCAGTTAACTTGAAAACGAAAATTGCAAATTTACATACCTATTTAATATTTAATTTTTATTTAATATTTATTTATTTTTTAGTTTGTTTCGTAATTAGATGTTTGCTGTTTTTCCCCACACCACCCATTAGAACAGCACACCATCATTAGAGATATTATCTTTATTACAATAAATACAGAATATTTTAGGAATATACGGAGACGTACACACAGGTCAGTTGTTGGCGCTGTACTATTTCAGCTTTCTAATTTGTAATTTCAGTGCAAATAAGAGTTGATATTTATAAGTAATGTATCACTGATGAGTTACCAGGAATGTGTGGCCCTTATTTCGTCTCTATTTCTGGTTATATGCTCGATGTCTGGGAGTCGAAAATTCCTTCGATCTGACAGAAATTGAATCTGCGTCTGGTCCAAACTCGCGATCGCCCGATCGCTTTACCAACTGAGCTTTAGAACGAATCAGCAGACCTTACAGATTTCTCTTTGTGTTTATTACAGATCTTTCTTTTTGGCTTAAACTGCTTTTTGCCGACGCGCCATCTTTGAGAAATCAATGAAAGTTTTTCTTCACTCAACCAGGTACCTTTACAGCTACCTATAGCTTTGTATTAATAATTATAACAAACTAGAGGAGTAACTTCACAAAAATAAATTAATATTTTGTTAGTAAACCATCGTAAAATTCATTAAAATCATACCTATATGGCTAATATTAATATTGGCCTACATTTATTTCTCTCGTGAGTTTGGGTGTAATTTGTTGTTGTCTATGTGTGTGTCCATGGCTACCGCGATACAGGATTTCCTAGTGCGGGGCTGTGAGTGTGTACGCGTTATTATTATCAAATACGTTTGACGAACAAAATATTGCCTGTGGCCGAACGGCTACCATGCCGGACTGCCACGCTGAGGTCCCAGGTTCGATTCCCGGGCTGGGAGAAATATTTGTATGGCCTACATTTATGTCTCTCGGATGTAATTTGTGGTTGTCTATGTGTGAGTCCGTGGCCCACGCGACACAGGGTTTCCCTAGTGCGGCGTTATGTTGAGTTTGTGCGTTAAAAAAATCTTTTATCTTTATTATATTTAGGTTAAATAATAAACTCTAGTTTCATTTAATCATCAATTAACAATCTTCGCACCACGGCTCTCCTTCGTCGTCACATTTACACGTGCCTCCACATTTATTCTGGAATACCACGGTAGGCTTACAACGCGATGGTTTACCTTAACATAAAATGAAAACATTAATCTTTCGCTTACTGTTCTTAATTGTTATCATCCAAGTATGTCTGCGTGACTAATCGGTCATTATACTTCCCTATAATTGTTTATCGGAAGGAGCCTGTTCCACTTTAATTCACTAAGCAAATTAATTATTCACCGAAGACAATGTAGTCTATATGTAATCTTATCTAGCTGTTAAGCACTCATACAGCAGCGAAATATTCTAGCTAAGGTTTATAGGTGTATCATCGATAATAGTAAAGATTATAATTACCATAAGGCAAAAGTGAACAGTCAGCCATCTTATCGCAACTCGGCCGTCCAGTCAAGCCACAGAAACAATTAAAGCAATTGATCTCCCACACACTTCCAACTTCACACCTTTGTGAACCAATTGTTGTAGAATGTATTTTTTCCACTCTTCGATGTCCATATTCATTTACGGTGTCAAAATCTTCATCATCAAAGCTCAGTTTATTCTTTCTATTAATATTTCTGTTCGTATAATTTGTGCCATCGGAATCATAATCAGAATCGTCAGATCTGAGAACATCATTTGTGTTATCGTTACGTATAGACATTTTTTTTGTTTCATTATTTTGGTCTCTGAGTGTTGTCGTATACTGAATCGATTCCTCTGAATTGTCTTGTCCTGCAATAATATATTTCATTCTTAGTACGTTAATATAGCTTAGTATAGCAATATTATGCAGTTATGTAGGCATTTTGATATTTTTAATGTATGTATAATTTTAATAGCGGTAACAAAAAAATGCTTTTTTAATTAAATTCCCAACCTTAAGACTAACTGTATCACAGCTGTGACAGTACTATGAATAAAGTAGAAAACTAGAACTATTTACCATGTGAATAACAATCAGTAAATTTGCAGATTGGCAGACCATCTCCACTGCATGTGCATAAGTTGCACTCCCCCATATTAAAGTTTGTGTAAGGTTTGCACAGCATTGGCTTTTCTATATTGAAAAACATATTAAAACACTTAATCGTATATAAAAGCAGATCAGACGTGATGGTCAAATAATATTCTCGAATTTAATTGTTCTGAATGTAGAAAAACGAAAATAACCAAATGCAAGATAAAATATATTGCGACAATCAAGTAGATTTCAAGCGAGTCACAAGTAAAAAAAAATTCAGTACATACCACGAGGTGGCAACACGCAATCCGGAATGATGTTGCAGTCAGGAAACCCGTCTTCAGAACAATTGCATTTATAACATTTACTTATCCATGTGGATCCTTTCAAACAATCTGGATTTTTTTCCTTTTTCGTATCACCAACTTGTGCCAACTTTTCTTCAGAATTTATTTCGTGTTGCCCATTTTGAGCTGTTTTATTTTTCGGAACTTTTGATTTTTTATTATTTACGTTAATCCCAGTAAAAGGAGAGAGCGACACGTCTAAATATACTGTAGTATTCAGTGATTTGCTTAGAGAACTTTCAGAATTTGGTACACTTTCAAAAGGAGAAAAATTGTCTGACGTAGGATTGTCTTCAGGGATAACACTATGACGATGATTTCCAGGAGATTTTGTTTCGTTAAAAATAAGAGTATTTAGAGAAATTAAGTCAACCGATGATGGTTTTTTATTATGTTTTGGTAATTCAGTAACTGTATTTTTTGAGGGTGAATCTGTGTCCTTTGAAGATAACAAAGATTTATCTGCCTTGCTAGCCGAAGTCAAGGTGCCTGGCTGGGAGGGACCGTGACCAAAAAATTCAAAAGTTTGTATTTGATTAGAAGGAATGGTATCCAATAAAGAAGAAAATTTGGTTGGTTTTCCAGCTTCTGTTTGCGAGTTTTTACCCGCCAAAAAAAGTTTTCCAATGGTTTGTATATTTTCGGCTAATGAATCGTTAAGTAACACTGCGACATTATCTATCAATGATAAAATATTGTCATTTGATGACAAATTTTCAGATGTCTGTGGAACATTCTTAGTAACAGGTGTTTTCAATTCCAACAATGGAATTTTTATAACTTGGTGTTTGACAGAAGATAATATGGTTTTTGGAACGTCGTCGTTAACTTTCAGATTCTCAGTATTTCCCGGAACTTTACTATTATTTTCCATAAACGACGTCGAAATATCATGTGAATTATCAGGCCGTGGTGGAATAACGGGAAACACATGCGTATTTTTAAAAGATGCTTGATTACTTAGTTGTGAAAGGTAATCATTGTCATTATCATCAAGACTGGGAAAAGATTTAGGAGCAACTGATTGCTGTTGAAGTACACTTGAATAGGTTGGATGCTGTACTTGTTTGCCTGTTTGCGAAAGGTAATCATTCTTATTATCATCAAGACTCGGAGAAGATTTAGGAGCAACTGATTGCTGTTGAAATAGTTTTGAATAGGTCGAATGCTGTATTTGTTGTGATTGTAAATTTTTAAATGGATGTATGTTAAGCAGTCTCTCAAATAAATTAAAGACGCTTTTCAATATTTTCGAGTCTTGAGACGCAGAAATATTACCAAGGAAATCATCAATCGCATCAAATAACTGCTGTGGTAACTGACCTTGCGAAGAAAGAAAAGATATCTGCTGCATATTAAAAACTTTATGACCTTTGTCATGCGAGCGGTCTGTAAAAAGGGCATTATTATATTTCACATTGTTTGATAACTGCTGTAATTGGTTTAATTGGTTACTACTTGGGACATTCCGCTGTGGAATATCTTGACTTAAAATCCTAAAAATCTCTAACGGATCAGCTGAGGGAGGAGCGCCTGATAACAGTGAAGCTCTTTTTATGAAATCTTTTATTACTTTCGATAGTTTAGATTCTGAAAATATAGGATCTTTCTTGAAATGTGCTGGTGGTGAAATACTATCCCTCGAACCCTTTAACTTTGGATAAAGGATTTTAATAAACTCATAAGGAAACTTGAGAGCAAAACTTGAAAGTGGTTTAAAGTTTTCTAAAAATTCGACAATTTTTGATTGGAATGAATTAGTGTTGTAAATATTATTGTGTAAGAAATCGGATCGTATTGGATTGAAATTTGGAGAGATTTTATCCGGATGACGTAGATAATAGTCAAGGTTTTCTAGAGAATAAATTGGATGATACAATGATTCTTCATGATCTTTTTTGAACAATACATTATTATCAGCGGACATTCTTTTATTTTCCGCAACATTTTTCTTTTTGTCAACGTTTTTTTCTGTGATTTTGGCATTTTCAGTTGTTTCATCATCGATTTTAATATCTACAGTGGATTCAGAATCATTTGAGACTTTATGTGCAGATGTATTCTCCGGTTTATTGGTTTTGAAAGTTATTTTCTTATTTGTTTTCTCTACTTTATTAATAGACCTGTTTATGTTACTCTCATTAGTCGATGCTGAAAATTAATTATAATAAATAAGTATACAATTACAAAGTTATCACGAAATTATTGAATACAAAAAAAAAGTACCAAATATCGTGGGTAAATGCGATAGCTGTAAATGAAAATGGAAACAATATTGGTTACTTGTAATCATTAAGGACTTATTAAGTAGTGACAAATTAAAATTTTCCAGAATAACATCCACTGACTCGTATAAATATTATGTACGAACGATAGCACATCAAGCTAAACATTGGCGAAACTTGTTTCGTTGCTCTGGGGGCAATATCTGAACAGTGTATAGCATGATGTGCTGTTGATGTACATCTAACACACGATGGAATGCGAATTAAAAAAAAACACGAAACAATTAAAATAAATCATTATAGTTATATGAAACATGTACTTATGTCAATCTACGCAACGGTAAAATTTACGGTTAAAGCGATACTAATCAAAATAACTTATAACACTAAAATTTTTTGATAAGAGACCTTGTCACTTCATAGTTAAAATATGGGCAATAGAACACGAACCCACCAGCAGGCATCACCATATAGGAAGGTGGTGACCAAAAACATCGCAGTGTAGGGAATTCTCTGTATTATGAGTACCAGAGTGCCAAGAAATTGACGAAAAGACATTACTCGAACCCCATGATGGTTTGAACCATAGCCTATACAAAACATTTCGTTAGCAAATAAATAAGCATTCTTAATTCAGATTCATTTTATACATAAATAAAACCGAGATCCCCTCAGCCAATGTCCAGAGTTCCAACTTGCTAGATCATAGTGATCGCAAAAGTATACTCTCGGACACAATTCTAACCATTTTGCATTTTTACAAAATATTGTTATCATCGAAGAAAAATTTTTCCCCAGTTTTACAAATTCAAATTTTAAACAAGGACTTACGGTAATGACGTTTAGTATACCAGTTTTAAAATGGCATGATAGTTTTTGGCAATTAAACATTGTTTAAGCATAGAGCTGAAATACTGAAAATGCAAGGTAGCTGGAACCACCTGTGCAAAAGTGTATAAATCAGAAAAACTAAAATTAGATGTGATTTTGCCACTATATTCATATCTCGGGAGTTCTAACAAACCGCGTATGTGGCTTAATTTACTACACGAATTTTGGCCATTTAATCTCTTGTGCCGACGATCAAGTTTTTTTTCATCATGACGATGCAGTGCAGAGTTGTCGGTTTTTAAAGAAGAAATAAAATTTGTGCCATTTACGTCAATTGAGTTACACTGTATCTAATTCTTAGGTCATAGTCAACCCTTCCATGCACTGTTATTAGGCACTAGTCATCTCGACGGAGAATTGATTAAGTTGTGTGAACGCTCTTAAACCTGTCTTAAATTTTTCCATCTTTTGCATTCTTTACTTTAGAGACGGTATTTCCCGGCAATGGCACTGTCGGCCGGGGTTAGGGACTCAGGTCCAAGAACCGGCGAACAATACGTGCCGTATCGAGCAGGACCGCCTTCTGCATTTGTGCTGGAAGCAACACGCCACAGAAATCCAACCGCCTCAAGCTGTTAGAAAGGCTGACTGGAATTAACCCATTTGCGGACAAAACAATTGAGATTATTTCAGTGGAGGCCACATCTCACATGTCGGTGATCTCGTGGGCCAGGTCGAGATACTTCTGGCGTTTCTCGGTTTCAGCTTTCACGAGACCCTTGTCATGGGGGATGGTAACGTCCACAAGAAATACCCTCGACTGCGATCGATAGAATATCACAGTATCAGGCTTATTCGCAAGAATAGTCCTGTCCGTGATAATAGATGGATCCCAATAGATTTTGGTGCGGTCATCTTCGAGTATTGGCTCCGGTGAATACTTGTAATATGGCAACCTCTGTTGCACTAGTCCGTACTTGAGAACGAGCTCTTGGTGTAATATTTTGGCTGCCTGGTTGTGTCTGTGCAAGTACTCAGTGTTAGCAAAAGCGGAACAACCGGAAACAATATGCCTAAGTGACTCTCCGGGACGGCCACATGCCCGACAAATGTCTACTGTGCCGTTCTTTAGGATATATTTCCGATAGTTCCGCATCTTGATAACCTGATCCTGTATTGCACAGACAAAACCTTCGGTTTCCCCAAAGAGGTCACCGAAACGCAGCCAATGTAGGGAGGCTTTACGGTCCATAAAAGGCTCGTGGAGTACCTGGAAGAACCTCCCATGGAGCTCCTTCTCTTTCCATACGGACTCGCGGTCAGAGGTGCTAAGCACCACCGGGTCTCGCCATTCCTCTTTGGCCAATGATAAGGGAGTTAGCCCTTTATCACATGTGACAACCTTCTCACGAATTACGTCATCCGCCATCGTCAAAAAGTCGTTTCTGAGATTGCATATCTCGCGGTTGTGCATGGTTTATACACTTAATAGGCCTCTGTCTCCACACTTCCGCGGGACATACAATCTCATAACTGACGATCTCGGATGATGCATTCAGTGAGAGGTCATCTACTCGTCTATCCAGAGCGTCTAATTCCGTCTAAGTCCATTTGAGCACGCCAAATGTGTACATCAGAACAGGCATGACCCAGGAGTTATAAGCTCGGATCTTATTAACGCCTGACAAATAGCTGTTTAGCACATTTTTCAGGCGCCCATAAAAAACCTCGCACACACCCTGTTTCACGTCTTCTTCCTTCACACCGATGGTCTGTGACATGCCCAGATACCGGTATGTTTCAGTCTCGGAGAGTACCCGCAATTGATTGGTGCCAACATTAATGCCATCAGAATGCATGACACGTCCCCTCTCGACATGGACCACCGCGCACTTATCAATCCCAAGCTCCATATTTTTTTTTTTTTAACCGAACTGCTGAAATCGTTGGTGATTGTCAGCAGCTCCGTCAATCTGTCAGCTGTGGGGCCGTATAGCTGGAGATCATCCATGTAGAGAAGGTGAGGCATTCGCGGCCCACCTCTCCGAAACTGAAAGCCTGTGCCCGACCTCTCTACTAGGTACTCAGAGGGTTCAGGGCCAGGCAAAACCACAGTGGACTCAGACAATCGCCCTGGAAAATACCTCGCCTTATTTCTATTCGGTCATCCGCATCCGTCATCCGCCGACCATCCAGACTCAGGATCGTTCTCCAACACCCCATACATTGCCCGAGGAAGTATCGAACTGCACTATCAATTTTATACAGTTCGAGGACCCTCGAGAGCCATGAGTGGGGCACCGAGTCGAATTCTTTCCTATAGTCTATCCAGGCAGCGGAGAAATTCCGACAGTGGCGTCTGACAAGTTGGTCAGCGACCGCGTCGATGAGGAGCAGCTCCTTACTACCGCGGCTACCGCCCCTACATCCGTTTTGAGCCCCAGCCATCAATCACACTGTTATCAACAATGTGCTGACTTATCTTGGAGCTCAAAACAGATGTTAAAGTCTTGTATATTGTACAAAGACAAGTTATGGGGCGATATTGTGATGGATCCACGGTAGCATCGCTCTTTGCAGTTAGCTGCATCAGGGTCACTCATTTAGATGAGTGACCCCAGTAGTTAAGAAGTTTGGGAGCGTCCCACTCTCAAGGGCACTTTGGAACTGACGAGCGAGAGTAGCGTGGCAGCACCAGAACCCCTTCAACCAATAATGATGCAGTCCGTCCGGTCCCGGACTTTTCCAGTTCGGAGCCTTACGGACCGCTACCGCTATATCCTCTTCGGATATGCTGATGGGATTCATAGGCGCTATGGTAGCACACGCTCCCTCAACCGCTTCGAACCATGGACCCTCTTCGTGATCGACAGGCTGCGCATGGCATTATTATTATTATTACTAATACTTAAAATGCTTACAGTGGTGTAATGATGATGGACCCAAGAAATAAAATTTTATAGGACTGTAAATGGTACAATGCTATTAGTCTTTTTGAGATTATAATTTGCCAGATTCAACTCATTACTATGTTTGTATCTGTGGATTGTGAAGCGACATTTCAATATTTCTCGTTGGTGCTAGTAGTGTTAAAAATATCTTGTGTAAATTTTTAACCGACTTCAAAATAAGGAGGGGGTTTTCAATTCGTCTGTATTTTTTTTTTTTGGTATGTATGTTACGCGATAACTCCGCCATTTGTGAACCGATATTGATGAATCTTTTTCAGAAGTGGTTCCATTTAAATTTGAAGTAAATATTCCACCTCTAAGGGTGTAAACTTGGGGATAAATGACTTTTGAGGTCGGTTTTTTTAACTGAAGGTTAGGTTATTTTAAACAAGTTCAAATAATAATAATTTCTGAAAGGTGGGACCTGATGGGTGGCCTGACGCACAGGCATTTTTTTGCTTAGTTTAGGCATCAGTCTCCCACAAAATTATCCTTACCAAAATCCTGTTCCTAGCTATAATATGTATTTTGTGGAAGAGAAAATAAACGTTACTATTATATTATTATTATTATTGAAATGATGAAAAGTTAGGACATGGTCGAGGAAGCTCGCATAAAACCATCCCGGTTCTGGCTCTGTAGTTTCGTTCTCTGTCTGATATCCATCCGTAACAATTACTGTCGAATAAGTAATACTCGACCAAAGTTAACACAGTCTTTTAATTTGGTCGAGCATTACTTATTTGACAGTAATTGTTTCGGAGAATGAGAATAAACCACCAGACATCGAGTATATAACCAGAAATAGAGACGAAATAAGGGCCACACATTCCTGGTAACTCGTCAGTGATGCATCACTTATAAATATCAACTCTCGTTTGCACTGAAATTACAAATTAGAAAGCTGAAATAGTACAGCGCCAACAACTGACCTGTGTGTACGTCTCCGTGTATTCCAAAAATATTCTGTATTTATTGTAATAAAGATAATATCTCTAATAATGGTGTGCTGTTCCATTCGGTGGTGTGGGGAAAAATAGCAAAACATCTAATTAAATAATAATAAATAAATAAATAAATAACGCACACACTCAACATAGCCCCGCACTAGGGAAACCCTGTGTCGCGGGTGCCATGGACACACACATAGACAACCACAAATTACACCCAAACTCACGAGAGAAATAAATGTAGGCCATACAAACATTTCTCCCGGCCCGGGAATCGAACCTGGGACCTCTGCGTGGCAGTCCGGCATGGTAACCGTTCGGCCACGGAGGCAGTTATTAAACAAAGAGAATAAAATTTCATCGGTAATTAAATATTAAATATATAATTTTGCAATTTTCGTTCATTATGTCAAAGCTCAAGTAACTGGTCGATTTGAAGTGAAACAATTGACGACACCCGT